GTTGGAAATTTATAGATATAATGATTATATTTGTGCAGGCTTTTCTTAGCTCAGAGCATACAATCTGAAAACAAGACATAATCAATATTTAACATCCAAAATGTTCTGGAAAACCCAGGGCTCACATATGGATGTTCCTTGCTTTGGAGCATTATTATATAATCTGGTGGTATGAGGCTGGGGGTGGGAGAGGGGTGTCACAGACTTTTAGACAACTAAGCTTAAAAGGTGGTATCAGGTGATGATGCTATGAGCTGAATATGAGCAGACAATAAGTGGGGTGAAAGTTCAGAAGAGGAAGAAGCCATGTTGGCTATGGTAATAGTAAAACAGCAATAATATCTGGTACATAAATGTTTGTTGCATTTTGCTAACAGTACTTCATATTTGCATAGCATTACAGATTTTCCAACACTTTAATGTCAGTTCTTCTCATCTGGCCTCATTAAGTCTTCACTACAACCTGTGAGTCAGTTATTATTAAATGAGGGTGAAATACATAAAATACTTAGAATAGTGGTTAGTACATAGTGAATATTCACTATTATTAGCTCTATTTTATGTATGAGGAAACTGAAGCTCAGAGAGGCAGTTACTTGCCCCAAATCACAGAGCTGAGAAGTGGTGGAACTAAGCCTGAACTCGGTTTCCCGGGCTCCTGTTTCTAGGCCTTTTTCCCTCTTCCCATGCATAAAAGGGGGCATTTGAGCTGGGGTTTGCCTAGATTGGGCCAAGTTTTGAGGGAGCCCTAGCAGAGAAGTCTCTGAAATCATGCTCCTCAGCCTCACAAGCCCTAGTTGTCAGGTAGCTGGGAATTGATGAGGGTATTCAGTACCTTGAGTAAGAAGAGTTAAATCTAGAAGCCTCTACTCATTTTAGCAATAAGGGGAGATGGTCCATCAAGGAAACTGCAAGCCATTAAACTCACATACATCCTCAGCTGCTAGGCTTGTTAAGAAAATGTCACAATAGGGGGAAATTGACAACACAGGCACCCGTAGGTATTTTTAGTCTGTGTTTCAAGGATGTACATCTTGGGTTCTGCTTAGGACTGAGCACAAGGGGGTGAATTTGGATTGATTTGACAAGACTGCTAGTCAGAAAGTTCTTACTGAGCATTTTTTTGTGCCCAACTTCTGCAAATGACTACGTGTGTGTGTGTCAGGGCAGGGGGGGTGGTGCTCAAAGAGGTGAAATAACTTTTTCAAACTTTCAAACACTAGGGAGGGTGCTGTAATCTTTTTCTTGGGTTGGGGGAGTGTGGAAACTGTAACTGTCTATTCCTTGTACCAGCAATCCTGCAATAATTTATTTGTCCTAATGTACAACATTATTAGTATAGTTAATAATACTGTATATGTACTTGAAATTTGCTGAGTAAATTTTAAGGGTTCTCAACACACACACACACACACACACAAATGGTAACTATGTTATGGGATTGATGTGTTAATTAACTTGATTGTGGTAATACCATTTCACAAAGTATATGTATATCAAATCATTATGGTGTACACTTTAAATATATACAACTTTATTTGTTAATTATACTATAATAAAGCTGGAAAAAAAGAAAATCTTTATTCTATGGATATATTCTTAAATGTAAGCCACTGTAACACTGTAATAGCATAAACAACTCAGTAAACTGAAGATCTAAATGTTCACCAACAAATATTGGTTAAATTATTGTATGACCTTCAAATGGAATTTCATACAACTATTAAGAAAGAGGTCCATCAATATGTGAGAAAGCATATCACTAAGATGTATTTGTACGTGCAGTAAAAATCAAAGTTCAAAAACTAGAGTTTATGTAGCATAATGCCATATGCATATTGAAACACACACACACACACACACATATATATGTACATATATGCAGATATATGTACACATTTTCCCCACAATAGAAGGATATGCTTGCATTGATAATGGGGAGTATGTGTGATGAGAGAGGAATGGGGAAGGGGAAATTTATTTTGTTTTATGCTTTGATGTACTCTTTGAGTGACTTAACTATATGACATACCATATATATATATA